ATGTGAGATCAATAAATGGGTAGTTTAGAATATATAATTGTACATACCAAATGTAGGCTCTCTAATGTTAGGGTAAAAGCTAACAAAATCTTAATTTTAATGTTGACCAAACTTTGCATATGAAATTGTGAACTAAATTATTTATTAGTAATTTTTACAATGAAATTAAAGTCTTCCCACAAATATTATGATCATAATGAATGTCTTCTAGTACAATTCAATTATTATCCTTTCCAATAGATTGAATTTGAAATTAGTTAGGAAAAGGCTCACCTACATCATTTAATAAAAAGTTGAGAGTGACAACACATTTAAAATTTTACATAATAATTCATCAATTTACTCGGTCATAAATTCTTTTTTTTTTATATGTGTGAGTGTCTAGGCCACTTAACGTACATCTCGACTAATCTTACGGAGCAACCGTCTGACCCTACAATATTTGGTGATGGAAAACACATTGAAATTACTAATTCATAAATGTGATAAATTTGTAAAGGAGAAAAAAAGAACTATATATATAAATATAAGTTACTTGAAAGTATCAACCAACCGTACACCAATTTACTATTCTATTACTTTATTGCTTGCCATTTTTTCAAACAGGTTAGTCAAAGGAAGTGTCATATAATCACTTCTAGAAATAAACTTTTTACTCATACAAAAAATCATTGACAAAATCATAAAGAACTAAGAAAAAGAAAAAAAAAATGAAAGAAGAAGTTTTTAACATCAACTTTCATTAAAAGCTTTAGAATAAATATTTATGGAAATATCTTTTGCCGATGCATTTTACGAGGCTAAATTTTTATATCATATAAGCAAAATGAACTATTCCCAACACATTTTGATAAAGAGAAATAAACGGTTATATATGAACAAAATTTAATGGAAAATTTGAACCATCCAAATGGATTTTTTAGTGGTGTGAGTGATAAAAATCTTATGCATCATATATAAAGCATTATTATTTACTAGAGATTGAAATGGGTTTTCAATTGAGTACCAAAAAGACCATAAAAATGAGAACAGAAGGCCATAGTTGCATCAACTATTCGTAATATATATATATATATATATATATTAATCAAAGGTCATTCATTTTCAAATTTGATGAGTGATTGGGACCAATAATTTAGTCACCTTTTCCTCCGTTCAATTTCTAAATGAATTTGTTATGGCTATTCAATCTTGAGAGTATAGTCTCGAGAGAATCAACGGGACGCCTCTGAGTACTTGTTTGTATCGAAACGAAAAACAAACATTTGAGCTAATACATTTAATTTTTCCAAAATATTGATCCTATTTCATTAGCACTATATATATAAAGCTACCACAACACTCCACTAATGCTAATGTGATTTAATATTTTTCCAGTAATTATGTGTCTGAAACTTTAAAAGATTAATTTTGAAATAATGTCTGATGTGTCACTCTACATTGACTTTTTTTTTTTTTTTTGAGCAAGAGTATTCCACATTTCCATAAAAGAAAAAGTGAGATTTTGAAATCTTAAAGCACTGCACTTAGGGCTATGAACAGACCACACACACCAAAATAATAATAAATAAAGAAAAAAAAACTTTTTTATTTTTATCAATACCCCTAATTTCCTTATTGACTTGTCAGCTGTACCACTATGGATTGTGTGTGGGATATATACTAATTTATGGTGTCTTCAAGATTTATTTTTTCTTTTCCCTTCAATATGTTAATTAAAAAGTGAATTTGTATATTATCCTCCCTTAATTTTGTACTTTATTGTTAATTCTCCATTAATTAGTTAGCAATAATCTAAATTCGTTTAGAAATTTGACACCAATGTATTATATGTGTCTTAAAACATCATTTAATCTATGTAGAGAAAAATGTTGGCTCAAATTCTGTTTTTTCCCTGAATTTTTAACTTTGTTCAATTTTTTTTCTTTTGTCTTTGAACCATCAAAATGACTATTTTTTTAATTCAATTTTCTATTTTAGATTAAATGCTTGTGATTGTAATTTGAGATCTCAAGAAACTTGAGAGTTGAGGATGGAATTACTTTTTTAATATTTACCATATTTATAAGATATAGTGTTAAGGATCAATATAGCTTTAATTTCATATAGGTTTCTAAGTTGCTATAGAGATGTAGAAAATTTATCATTTCATTAATTTTTTGGTTTTGTGTTCTTTAAAAAAAAATTTATGTTTTGTGTTAGATTTAAATATAGGTAGGAAATCACAACAAGATGAGGCCCTATATTCAAATTCTTACAATATTGTTTCTTCTCCATATCAGCGTTGGTCAATATTGAGAAGGTAAATGTTCTAACTTACAGTGAAGAAGGTAAATGTTGAGATTAATATTAGATGATTAAATTTATCATAATCTATCAACTTTAAAGCTCCAAAATGACGGAAAATCCTTATTCACTTTGAAATCCTTTGACATATTTTTCAACCAAGAGCGTTTTCTACTATACTATTGACTTTGAATGATTTGAAAATCCTAATAAGATGTACGAGCATGCAAGTTGGTACGAAACACATATACCAAATAGAGAAATTTCATGCTCAAATTTAATAATGGATTCAAACTCCCTCCACTTAATTTCAACTCTCTTTCTCATGATTGTACCTCCATCTCCCTCATTAGATACTGAGGATATATTCTAAAGTTTCATCAACTTGTGATATTTTTTCAGAATATTTCAAATCAATAATTTCTTTCTAAATTTTTGAAAGTATTGACGAAATATTAAGATAAAAATGAGATCGAGACACTATTTGATAGGATAAATATTGAATTTATGAGCTTATAAAAACTTACGTATATGGTATTATGGTATGGTAAGATATGTATTTGACATCGATGTTCCTATTCATGGACATTTTCATGATCCATTTGAAAGTCAATAATACATTTTTCTTGACATCGATATTTATCAAAAATAACCTTTTTCTTTTAGAAAAAAAATGAATTTCTTGTTAAGAAAAGAAATAGAAAATAGTAAGTTCCACTCCCACCAAGTAGATTCAAGATGAATTGAGACCTTGTAGAGTTGGGTGATGTGGTTGGTTGAGTTTTAATATTTTCTCCCATCTCCCAAATTGGCCTACATTATAATCTACTTTTTCTCCCTCTTTAGGTTTTTTTTTTTTGTCTATTATTATTATTTATTAACATTATCTCTAACACGAGCAGAAAGATTTGAACCTCAGAAGCCAAGTTGAATGAACTATTACTAAATAAGTTTAGACTAAGATAGTTATTTGCCCCAATCTTGTCATAGATATAGGTTTATATTTGGTTCTTTTTTCCAAATGCTTTTTAAGTTCATATAAATTTTTAAATCATTTTCCTAACATTTATGTTAATTTTATATCCTCTTGTGTGAAAATTTCATTCAAACCCCAAATGGTGAAGAATAACAAATTATTATGACTACCAAAAATCAAAATGACGATTATGAAATTTTAGTCCTATATCTTAGACTTATCATTTATTTTGTGTTTGATTTGGATTTTAAATCAAATCAAATAAAATGGTATACTAAAAGGTTGTTATATTCTTCTTCTTTTTTTAACTTTCTTAATTATGTTTTCATCATCTCTTTCTTTCAAATTAGATCTCTTAATCTAAATGGTTAAATCTTTAATGTTTATTTAATTTATAGTTTATTTGGACAACGTTAAAATTGTTGGTTACATTATATTTTTAAATTTTAATCCTTGTGATCTAACATGGTTTTGGTTTAGTCCTAAATTTTTAAAATTTGCCTTATTGTTACAATTTAAAAATCAAAACTTATCTCATGTCTGTTGCCTCTACTATTAGTGAAAATTAACAAATAATAACAATAATAATAAGGTAATTTAGCTATTTATGGCTGCTCTCTGAAATGAATCACAAAAATCTAACAAGCTAGATTGGGGATAATAAATAGGATTGGCCCCAATTTTTTTTTCCTTATTTTTGATCAAAATAATGCACTAAAACCTCACCTAAATTCAAAATTTTCAACTAATACAAAATTTCGGCCCAAAATCATTCAAAATAAAATACGGCTTATTCGAGATATCCACAAATAACTTCCCACTACCCTTTGATCAAAGTATGAGGTCGATGAAGAAACTTTTAAAATTATATTTTAATCTTAAAAATATTTGTAAGGGAAATACATTTTCTTTTTAATTCGATTATTTATGGATCATTTAAGTTTAGTTTTATTAAACAAGAAAAGTCCAATCCACCAATACAACAGGTCCAGGCCAGCAAAAACTCGACGGCCCAGCCCATAATTATGAGCCCAATTAGGCCCACTTAGAATATGAGAGCAATAGCATGTTGGTCTAACAGTAATATCATCCTCTATGTTAATTTACAAAAATAAATAAATAAATAAATGAGAATAAAAAAAATACTCCAAGGCTATTATTCTTCTGACCTCTTTAATAATTATAAAAACATTTTTCATACTTCGAATTATTTATATAAATCAAATATTTCTAGTCTCTTTATTTTGTAATTTAGACCTCTAAGAATGTTTCTAAACTCTTAATCAAATTTCAAAAATTAAAGGAAAAAAAGTTTACATCACAAATATGTTTTTAGAATTCAACTATGGATTGATCAACACAGACTGTAAGTAAAACAAGTCTACTTTCCTTTTAAAAAATTAAAATTTTAATAACTTAGGTCAATGTCTAACCATTAGAATGGAATCAAATTATTTAAACAATTACATGCCAAAACACATAGCTTGTTTAATTAATCAAACAAATCCAATAGAATCATTGGGGTTGACTTAAGTCCTAATCTACATATTTTTTTAAAAAATCAAAAAACAAACACCAACCGAAACTCATTAAACTAATAAAATTATGTTCTTTAATCTTCATATAGGGGACCATATGGTCCACGAAAAAGTAATCATCTTATGGTTAATCATAATCATTTTTAATTAAGGCAATTATTACCCAATATTTTATTATTTCATTTAATTTCCAACATGACAGAAACAATAATTTAACATTAAATAAAACTAAAAAAAAGGGGAATATACATTGAAAAAAAAAAGTTAGAGAGAATAATTCATCGGTTGTTGTAAAGTAAAGCCTTTTTTTTCCCCTACTAAAGTGTAGGCAAATACGGCGCCGTATTGGAGCACTGAAGGGGGAGCCATATTTTCCTAGACTTTAGTCGTGGGGGGGCATTTGCTTACCAGGTCAACTTCGTTTTCTTACGCCGTCTGTCATCTCTCACGGCCGCGAAACGGAGGCGGCATCTTTGACGGCTCTGTTAATCGCGCCGTTACCCAAGGTGGTTGACTGAACGGTCAACGACGACATGCCGGGGGAGGTAGGGCCTTCTCCTCCGCCGCCCTTCGACGCCACGATCGGGCGGCTGTGACAAGTGGCGGTGGAGATAGCGGTGGCCAGGGAGATGGGCATCAGGCAGAGGCCTTTGCCTTGTAAGTACTGCATGGCGGAGCCCATGTCTTCCTCCATGAGCTTCACCACCTGGTGCTCCGTCACCGTCATGGCGTCGTTAGTCGAGGGAGCACCGGCGGAGGTCCGTCCGGCGGCCCCGCCGGCTCCGTTGGACAGGTTACAGTCAGTTCCACCCTACATAGACATGTATATATATGAATGAAACTCCATATATTCACCTACTTCCTCCTTTGTCTAGTTTATTCTAAACTCTAGATGCTAGCATATACCAAATTGTAACGAAATAAATTCTGAGATTAAATTATTACAATGTTTAAACTATAACAACTCAATGGTAATATACAAGTTTAAGAAGTATATCAATAATAAAAATACATGTAGTAAATGTACAGTGAATGGTTAAGGAACCTATTCCCTCATTCCGAAAATATTCAAACTTCTACCTCACACTTGTTCTGACTAATAAGTCAGGAAGAGATAGAGAAAGAGAAAATATAAATTTTTATTTATTTTTTAGTCACTAGTATTTTTCAACTTGGCTCATCGATTTTAATCGGATTCGTTTGAGCTTTTGGACTCTGATACCATATTAATATTCAAGTTCTATCTCAAAATCAATTGGCAATGAGAGGAGTAACCCATATATATATAAATCATTGTTAGGTTCTTTTTCTTTTCAACGTAGGATCCTTAATAAGTAGGGAGATTTCTATCCATGGACTAGAATTTTTTACTAACAAGTCATGAGGTAATATATATTGTTCAATTGAGGACTAAAAAAAATGGTAAGTGGTGTTTTTTAGTATAATAAATTGGAGATGATGAAATTGAACTTTAACCGAGTAAAATATCTTAAAATTACTGAATCATGCTGGCAAGATTTTGACCTAGGGTGTGTTTTAACAAATTTTCTTTCATGTTATATATATATCTTCTGCCGATTGTCAGCCTGTTCAGTTGACCTCAGAGGATTCCAGTCACCCGGCACAGCATCTTTCTGTGAGATTCTAGGTATTCCATAGTTCCTTCCCGCGTCAATTGCCAATTCTTGGTCATTGAGATTCATGGGCAATTTGGATGTTTATTTAG